GGCGCGGGGGGGGGGGGGGTACTAGCTGTACTTGAAATCGATATGAAAAATACAGCACTCACAGCAGCGGGGCCCATCCGGCGTCCCCAGTTGGTCACCCTTTGGTTACGAGGTAGGGACGACGATGCGCTCCGGCGAGTTTGCTCGTGAAGACCGGGGCGGAGCGCTGCGCGGTCACGATCTCGTCCTCCTCTGGTGACGAGAAGGGGACGGTTCGGCGCCCCGGGGAGTTCCCTAGTGGAGCGCGGGCGGTGGAGTTCTTGGACGAGAGTGTGACCAAGGGGTGACGACAGTGCGCTCAAGGCGCGACCTTTCGGCTACCGGAGGAGTGACGAGAGGTGCGACGAGGTGGCGACCACTTAGCGATTCGGTCGTGGTCGCTTAGTCGTCACCTCTCCGTCACGAGGTGGTCGCTCACTGGCCGCTAGACGGCCACTATGTGGTGGTAAAGCGCTCACCCTGAGGCGACGGAGGAGTGACAGTCCCGCAATACGCAGTTCCACTCGGGGAATAGCGTCGCCGCCGTCGCCGTCGTCGTCGTGTGGCCGCCGCGTTCATTGGGAATGCAACGAGAGTCACACGTGTTAGTTACGCCCCTCGCCGGCCGCACCTCCTGCAGGCTGCACCTCGCCAGCGCCACGCACCGCCTGCTGCTGCTGCTGCGGAGGCGGCAGTCGAGCTGAATCATGTACGCGAAGCAGACGAACAACGACAACATACTCTACATAGTACCCGCCGCGCCTAAATGAAATGCCAAAGGGGTGGCGCGGCGTGGCGCGGGCGGGCGTGACAGGAATCAAGTAGGGGCGGCCGTGCGGGGGTTGGGGTTGGGGGAGGATGGCACTGTCGGTGAAATCATGAGGGGGTGGGGGGCTTTAATTTGGTTAGGCGGGCTATCGAGCGAGCGGCGCGTGACGGGCCTCATGAATGCCATGGAGATGGAGCTGGTGGCGGCCTACGGGAGGCGGCCTATGGGAGGCGGCCTACTAGGGGCGGCCTCGGGCGGCCTACGACGAGATGGTCTCCGACAGTCTACGACGAGAGGCAGATTACAAGAGGCAGGAGGAGGCCTACAGTGGGACACCAGACACCAGTACGAAGCGGCTAGAACTGCACGAAAATGAATAGCGAGTCACCCTGCACTCCCGCTCCCAGCGGTCGGCCGGCCGGCGTGTTCGGACACCCCGTGCTTCAGCTACACGCCGCCGGGGCCGGTCGGGGAATGAGGCATTTTAATATTTCTCTAAACTTCACGGCGGTTATTAACTTGGGTAATTTATGGGACGAGCAAACTCCCGCCGCTTCACCCTCTCCTCCCCGAGCACCTCCTCCTCCTCTACAAGTGGCCGGGCAGGCTTCGGCCGGCCATGCTGAGTGAGAGCGCCTCGCGACCGGCGGCGACTCCACGCCAAGCGCAGCCAGGACGACATGCATCGGGGCGCCATCCGACCTCGTGCGCTCACACTTCGCATTCCCAGACACGCTGGCTGCATACCTACAACCCCTTTACGAACAACACTTCGTCTTTCATTTTTTCTGGCCGCAGCCCACGTGACGTCGTGTTGGGTGTGACACGGTGACACCCTTCCCGCCGGCGCGCCGGGGGCGTCAGGACGCCGTCAGGACGCCTTGAGGACGCCGTCAGGGGGCGACACATTAAGCCGCGCAAGTCGTCGGGCCGCGGGCCGCCCGCCCAACCCCTTCACGCGCCCGTCACCGTCGGCCCCGGCGGGGCCCCGGCGGGGTCACGTGACTGACAAGGACACGCCACATTAGTCATGCCGAAGACATCACCGCGTAACGCACCGTCCCGCCGGGGTAAGTCCCGACGGGGTATTGACGACGCTGCCGCGGGGTAGCGGGGGTGGGGTAGGCGGGGTTAACAAGCGTGAAGTCGACTGCCGCCGCTGAAGCGCTGGGATGTGGCAGAGATGGCGGCGGGAAAAAAAAAGAAAAATCTCAGCAAACTCCCTGCCACGTGTCATTGACCAGCACTACTGGGAGAGGTGGGGAGCAGGCAAGAGGGAGGCACAGGGTGGTAGTGCAGAGAGAGAGAGAGAGAGAGAGAGAGAGAGAGAGAGAGAGAGAGAGAGAGA